TGCCACACCAACTAACAGAAAAAATGGGATGGATTGAATTTCCATCTGCGAAGTCTTGGCCAAACGGAATGAGATAGACCAATTTCTTAAACGGATGAGAAATGGATCACATACGATAACCCTGTGCGAATACTATTATTGTCAAAGAGCGGTAAAACACCTCAAACGGTGGCCAAACTAGTACTAACAGCCAGGCTTCTGCTATGCATTTGGTGGAACTGGAAGGGAATTATTTATTATGAGTTGCTTCCATATGGCCAAACGCTAAATTCTGATCTCTACTGTTAACAACTGGACCGTTTGAAGATAGCAATTTAATAGAATTGGCGAACAGGAAAGGTGTTCTGTTCCACCTGGAAAGGTGTTCTGTTCCACCTGGAAACACACATTGAGAAGTTTTAATGCATCCACCATACAGTCCGGACTTGACACCAAGCGATTATCATCTTTTTCTTTCATTGCAAAATTTCTTTAATTATAAAAAAATGTATCTGGGGAGGATTGTGAACGTCGACTGCTAGAGTTTTTTGCAAATAGAGAGTAGGACTTCGATGAGAGAGGCATTATAAAGTTACCTTTAAAATGACAAAATTAGTTCATAGTTCGTTTTCTAAGCATTTTTTACTTAAAAACAAAAAAGGTATTATAAAACGTTCTACAATAAATTACAGGTCATATGTGTGATTACACATGATGTGGCAAAACTAGTGACACAGCTGTTAAATCTCTTATTTTACTGTACTTTGTGAAAACGAACAATATCTAGCAAAAATTACTATCAAGTATTTCAAGCTGTTGATTAAACGATCATTCCTAATCATAAACGAAACGTATTAGCAAAACGTAATTTATTTGACCTATGTTCATTTACTCCAAAAGACAAACCAAAGTCGAAGAATTTATTTCTTTAATTGTGCAAAAATATAAAGAAAGACTACATTTGCTATATTTTCTTCCTGTTAAAATAATACTAATTTAAAGGCTATAAATGCAATAATAATATCAAAACAAAAACCATTGTTTTTGTCTCGATTATCTGTCAAATTTTTCCATATAATAGGTTCGTTCGTTTACTCAATAATTTGTACGAATTTGTACAAATTATTACAAAATGTTGTTCGTTTACCCAAAAGTCCAGTAAAAGAGAGTGAATTGAGAGAGCAGATTTGACAGTTGTGTTACTGAGTATTTGCAAATTCTTACAAGGAAAATTTACTCAGTAAGAATTTTCTTGTACCATCAGCTGATATTTAATCAGCTGTTTTGTTATGTTTTGTAAACAAACAAAAAATTGTTCTCAGAAAATTGATTGTTTTGTGAATTTTATTTTGATTTTGTATCATTAAATACCAAAATGGATGAAGAAAACGCAAGTATTTAAAAATAAGAGTAATAAGAGTAATTGGCGAACGATTTTTTAGGTTCCAAATCGAAACAAAAAAGTGTGCATCCCTAACATGTCTGGAACACCATCGGTTATGTCCACCCCCATATCAATTGCAGATACAGGAATAACAGGTCACAACCCTTTTAAATGTTTATGGGGAACAAACAACATCAATTTTCCGCTTGTTATCCATTTTTCTAATAAAAATGCTATTTTATAGTTTGCGCCAATTTGTTTGTTGTTTTAATCAGCTGTGTCGAAACAATCTTTTTACTGGATGTTGTTCGTTTACTTTTTGCAGTTTTCTCTCTTGAAAAGGAAAAATTCGTATTTACTCTCTGCAAATTCTTACTGAGTAAATATTACTGGGAAAGTAAACGAACGAACCTAATATTTCAAAAACTTGGCAGCATTGCACATCGAATTCAAGTAGAAATTACGCAAGATATCAGCTGTTCTAAATGGCCATTGATCATGGCATAATTACAGAAGGTAGCCTCATTTGAGAAATCAATAATGGCAACCCTTTTAAATTTGGAACTCATCTATCACTTTCAATTTGTTTGAAAAATAAATTCCGTAAAATGTTATGCATGTCGAATGACATATTTAAGAAAAAATTAAGATATAATTATAGATATTACAAATTATATTTATAGATTATAGAGGCTGGGAACTTCAAAATATTAAACATTTTGTTATTATTGCCACTGAACACGTGTTGTGCGTTTATTTCAAAGGAGGTTATTTTCATTTAAATTTTGAAAGCTGAATGTTGTCAAAAGTAAAATTATAAAAAAATTGGAATCATATGTCTGCATGAGACTACCTTGTGTAATTATGTCATGATAAAGGATATGCCAAATTTTGAAAGTGCTAATAACAATGATTAATATCTCTTATTCATGTAAAGAATAGTTCCGTTCCAGAACCTAAACGAATCTACTAATTTTACAAGTTTTGCAACTTTTTTCTCGAAACCCGTTCCTGAACCCACAAAACTCGTACAACATTGAACCAAATTTAAGAGAACATCAAACAAAATGGCGTTCTCTTTCTATACTTTTTATTCGAAATTTTTTTTTCGAGTAAAAATGGCTGTTTACTACCATTTTTACTCGGTTTATTTTGATTGGCTGTTATGTTGATTTTGAAGTATTGCCTTCTAATTTTGGCATATTTACGAGATTTGTGTTCACGAACTTTTCAAATTATTTTGTACTATGAGAGCGATTTTAAAATGTTTCCCTCTTACTAGATTTACTATTAAAAAGTGCTGGAACAGACTAAATGTTTAACGTTCCAAAAGTTCAAACAATTCACGGACTTTTCCCATTATTAGCAATGATGTCCAGAGTCATGTATATTTGAAGTCGAGTTAGTGACCGGTCTTTAGTGGCTTTTATTTCAAAAGATAAAAATCGGAGGCCCTCAATTTTTTAGTACTAAAGTTCTACAAATAAGAATATTGTAAAAATGTAATTGTTTTTGATTTATTGAACATTTAAAGTTTGATTTTGCCCCTGAAAGTCGTGTAAGTGACTGCGGAAGAACCCATATATACAATCATGGTACAATTATAAAAGGTAACAGTTAATCCCAGCTGATTTGATTCCAACGTAATACTAGTGTCAATATGAATATGACAAATTATGTTTTTAAAAATCACCCAACAGGAAAATTGGTAACGCATACAATTTGAAATTATTCTTTTTTAAATGTGCTCCCGTATTCAATTTACTCAATCTGCCTGCTGGGAAAGTTTGAGGAAGCAAATCTTTCTTCATAGAATAACTCGCAATTCCCTGCATTTTCATATGTGTTACATATATAAGTGACAATTTCTCAATTATAGGAAAGATGTGGAAGCGATAGAAATTTAAATTTGATAGATTTTCATTCATGTTTTTCAATTTTATTTGGAGGATTCGAAAATATTTCATTTTCAAAATAAATATAATTTGTTTCTTAATTTACATTTTTCTGTCAAATGACGTTGACACTAGTATAACTTACAAGAACAAATTTCTATGTGGTTCTTGTATCGTTTGTTGTACAACAACACTTGCTGTTACCTTCTATCATGTCATGATATACAATGGAAATTATAATTTAAGCGACGACTAAATGAAGATTTATCAGGAAATATGTTCCGTGTAAATGTCACCTAAGCCATTGATACACAGTCAAGTTTACTTAAAATGCCGGCGGTGCGCCCTGCTGGCTTTGAAATATAACCGAATGAACACACACACAATCGCCGTCGCACTATTGTATCTATGTTGAAAACAATCTAAAAGATGCATTTGCTGTCAGATTCCACAGCGGGCGAGCGAGTATCTAAAGCAGCAGCTGCAAATTATAGCTGACTGCTTGTTATTATTGTTATTGTTTTAAACACCGAAACATACGTGCGGAGAATAAGAGCGGGAGATAATCGGCAATCGATTCTGTTGAAAGAAACTACTCCAGAAGAATTAAAATCGAAACTAATTAATTTACGTCTTAAAAGTTATACTCAGTGTGCGTGTGTGCAGTGTTTTTGGAAATAGTTGTGTGGACAAGTTTGAAATTTTAATGGAAAACAATTTAGTACAACAACATAGTTTAGATATTTTGCAACAACAAACAGACATACACACAAATGATAATTGTGAGAGATGGAATAGAACCGAGAATCGGGCAGCAGCAACCAGGCAGATAGACGACAGACGGACACAGAGATGTGTGGAGCCAACCATCATCAAACACAGTAAACGGGTTGCCCTCCTTACATTGCCCTAAATTTGAAATGAAAGCTTTTACGAAAAAAGCCAGCAAACAAACAGTGCTGGAGAGAACAAGAATGTGATCGACAAAGAATGAAAATTAGTATGGCAAACAAACAAGTTGTTTTTGTAATGTGAAATTTATAAAAATAAAGTCTAAATGAATGAACTAATTGTAAACACGGCATTTAAATAAAAAAGTAAATAGCTGCCCTACCTAGTTGTATGTATCAACGCCATAGATACGTTTTATCTTCAAATGTAACTAATCTAAAGAGTATTATCAGCATCATCACAATTAGCACCGCCACCACCACCACCACCAACAACACCACCCACAAACCAACCTAGCCGCCCGCTCATCATCATCATCATCAGGTGTGCCAAAGGTCTTTGTTGCAGATTTACCCAACCACCCCCCCCAGAGAGTAAGGGACGAGGATGATATCTGTTGAATGCCTCTGGCACCTTTTATTATCTAGATGCATGAGACTGTGACATTTCGACAAAACAATAACTGGAGCAGTCTAAGTTAAAACGTACGGGAAAGAGAGAGGTGCCAATCCACTGTGTGTTATTGTAGTTCTGTCGGGTTGGGTATGCCGTTCTATGTCTAGCCTTTAGTCTCATTCGATCGTTGCTATGTTTATTTAATTCAATTGCCGCAATATTGTACACACGGAATTTCATTGCATCATTAGAGAGACAGAGAGCCAAACACAGAAAGCCCAACTGAATGTGGTAAATACACCCGTGGAAAATTGTATTGTCAGGCGCCTTGTTTCCCACAAAGGAGTGGAGGAGCCATCACTTTGAGATCTTTAAGAATATTGTTGGTGATTGTACACTATGGTAAAATCATTGGTATCCAAACTATCCGCAGCCTCCTCAACACTCTCCATTGCCAGTAGCTTCAGTAGCAGTCATTCCAAACATGATGCCAGCACCCACAATGGAACATCAACGGCAGCTATCTCTGGGGACAATTATATGAAGTGTATGTTGTTGTTGTTGCGGTTTTTATTATTATTGTTATTATTCCTTCCTATTATTAATTAAATGCCTTATTGCCTACACATGATGAATAGTAATTGTATTGACTGGAATGTAGTAGATGCGTAATGGAGGAGCACATCATAGAGAAGATTCAATTATCGGCATTGATAATAATATTTGTAAAATTAAATTCTTTTTGCATATTTGTGTTATATATATATATAGTGTCCCTCTAACTTAATTATCATGTTACTGAAAAAAGAGAAATTCCACAAATGTGTTGTAATTAGTTGTGTTTTTCAAACACCTTTTTCTTATTTGTATGGGATAAGGGGACTATTCCGTGTTCTGTGTTTTGTTGGTAATTCATTGACAAAGTCGTTTTAAATGTTATCAATAATATATATTATTGATTAGCTCGTATAGTGAAGTCAGCAAGGCTTCGTTCCAATATTCGGTACAATGTCTATAAAAGAACACCGATGAGCACAATATCGATCAATATAGATAAGAGACTTGACAACTTTGTAATTGATTAAATTAGGGTTTACAATTTCCACTTTGTCGATCAAGGGATCGGTTACAGTGTAGACCTGACAGTAGTATACAGGATTTAAATGGAAATTGGTTTGAATTTCATATATCAATATGACTGTCTACTGTCTATAAGAAATCCTGGTTCTCGGGCAATCTAGAATTTTTAACGAATTTGTGTGCCGCAATATCACTGTGAATGAATAAGCTGACTAAGGTACAATATTCGTGGTGGAAATATGCACGATCTCTGGCGCTATTTGGACGTTGTTAATGCATCACTTGTTAATGACTTGTCTCTTAAAATATACCAAGAGACCAACTACGTTAGGCTTGGAAAGCTATGTATTAGTGACTTAAAGCTGGTGATGTCTATAGTAAAGTAGACTACAATTAATAGATTTGCGGGACCCTGACAGCCACACATCCTCTAACCTGATCTAGGATCATTATATTCCAATCCCAATAACTCATAATGTAAAGGTAATCGAGTGAGGTCGCTATAGAAATTCAATCGATAAATTTGTGGTGTTCTCGGTTATTCAGCGACATACAAAAATTTTATGGGGAATTTTTCTGTATATTTTTAAACGATATTTTATCGGAAAAATTTGTGTGAGTTCGGAATATGCTCAACTTTATCCCAAAGATAACCTATCTTTTTATTTTAGATTGTTTATGACTTTTACATTGTAGTAAAATTAACCTATAATCGTATTTTTTCCACGAAGGTTTCTTGGCATTGAACACTAAATTACAGGCAATTATGTTAAAATTTTGATTACAATATTCAAATATTTTTTATCAAACATTTGCATCTGGAATGAAACAACTGTAAAAATGATGTTTGAAATCTGAAAATTTTGTTTTGGGTGTTTAGAAATACACTATTACATTTGTCTTGCTTTGTCATCGTCGGAAGACACTCAAATTTGTCCAATTAAGTGATTAAGGATTTTAATTGTTATTGTATTGAAAAGCCATTTAAATGTCGATTCTAAAATTATTTCCAAACTCATTAATTCATTTCAAAATTTTTATTTCATTTTTAGATCGTAATGATCCGGGGCGTTTCTTTGGCGATGGCGTACAATTCAAAGCCAAACTTATTGGCATTTTGGAGGTGGGTGAGGCACGTGGCGATCGCATGTGCCAAGAGGCCCTACAAGATTTGAAAATGGCCATAAGAGCGGCGGGAGAGCACAAACAACGCATCACCATCCATGTAACCATCGATGGTTTACGTTTGCGTGATGAGAAAACCGGTGACTCTTTGTATCATCATCCGGTGCACAAGATCTCATTTATTGCCCAAGATATGACCGATTCTCGGGCATTTGGTTATATATTCGGTTCACCGGATAGTGGTCATCGATTTTTTGGCATCAAAACGGATAAGGCTGCTTCACAGGTGGTGTTGGCCATGCGCGATCTCTTTCAAGTGGTGTTCGAATTAAAGAAGAAGGAAATTGAATTGGCCCGACAGCAGATACAATCGAAATCTATGCATCATCATGATCAACATCAGCTGTCATCGTTGTCGTCTCTGAAGAGTGCTGGCACCACGGGTGGACAAAATGATTTGTCCGGTGGTTTGGGTGTTGGTGGTTCAAGCAATTCGGCGGCCACTTTAAGTATGCTGAATAATATGGCCAGTAGTTCAAATAATACACCATCCAATAATCGACTGGGTGTCAATATGGATTCTAAAGGAGCTTCAAAAGAGGTGACTATAACCAAATGAATAAAATTATTTCTTATTAAATTAAAAATTTATTTTTTACAGATATCTCCAGAATCTGTGGCAGATTTGGTCGACTTGGAACAAGAACTCTCTTCTCTACAAAGAGGTATTAATCAAATGGAACGCATAACACCCAATGATGGTACAACATCCAAGAATTCAATTGGAAATGATGATCCATTTGGTGATTCATTTTCAAACTTTCCGGTAAAAAATGACAGGAGCAAAGTTTCATTTAAAATGTATTAACTAATGGTATTACCATTACAGGCCTTACCACCACCCGAACCTGGACGTTCGCGTAGCAAAACCTCGGCAAAAAGTATTGATTTATCGAATACCACCAATGTTGCTACATCGTCGTTGCTTTCACCTTCCGCCACACAGACCAATCGCCAATCACCGGTATCGTCAACGGGCACATGTGCCATTGCACCATCACTGCAACCGCTGGACGATGATGATAGTTGGCTGCGTGAATTGGATGCACATAATGATGTTTTCGATACATCCAAAACCATGATGCCCGGACTAATGGGTATGCCACCGCTGGCCTCAACACTCACAAGCTCCGTACCGCTGACATCACGTGCTCCCTTGGCACCACGAGAATCAAGTGCAACACCTCCCAGTCATATCTACGAGACTGTTTCATGTTCGACATCATCAGCAATGCCGAATATAAATGATATAACAAATATTACCAGTACTGCGGCAACAAATGCCGAAACGAATTCCATAGTAAATAGTTCTAGTCTTACGGATATATTCCAAACGGCAGCTGTAACAGCAGATACATCAAAAGTCGAAATTAAATCCGGTGAGTTTGTTTGCATTACCGAAGTTGCGATTAGTTTCCTACATAACCTGCACGTGTACATGACCACCCCACCACCATTTATTTCAGTTTGTTGACATCATTCTAACGATTTCATGAATATATATATTAACAGCGCTGCCACATTTATGTTTTTTTTTGACACCCAGTTTTATGTTATAAAATATTTTATTTTAATTTTGAAGCACGATATCATGATAAAAAAAACGAACATTAAATTACACCAGTCATTCGGGGGATTGTGGTGTTAAATTTGGAAGAGAAAGCAATGGGAAATAAACCTTTCTGTATGCTCTCCACTTCTTAGATATGTAAATTAACTTCAGTAGTGTTGGCGGGTTATTTGGGATACCATTTATATTTTGTTTTTGCAAAATAACATAATTATGTACTCCTGAGAGCAATATAAAGGGTCTTACTTAATCCAAAAAATAATGTTTTTAGAAAGTAGTATTTGAGTTCCTTTTGGTTGGTGTTGTGCATAGGCAGGTGATACACTCTGTTGGCAATTTTCCTCTTCCTGGGTAATAACATACAAATTGGGTATCTTTTAAATCCTGCTGTCGCATCAACTACCTAAATCCTATCTAGTCACTTAAGTATCTGTTTAGTTTCCCCCCTCGAAAACTTTAAAGGCATGAATTCGTAAACGACTTAGAAGGAACCCTTTAAGTTCGTCAATCCTCTATAAAAGTTCCTTACTGTGTGTAAACGGCTTGGTCCACCAAATAGTATCCCTTAACCTCACAAGAATCGGGACGGTTGTTATACGGGATGAGGGGAGCCCATTTAATGATGAAATTTGAACAGCCAATAACAGACATTTTGACTGATATAATTCCCAAGTTCTGCTGCAATCGAAGATTCTTTTTTCGTAGACTTTGTGTCATCTTAGTCCTTTTTAGTTACACATCTATGGGATGTAGATCTGATTAAGAAACCTGGACTTTTATTGTACCACAATAGACTCTATCAAAGCACGATGTTGCGTTGTAGGTCACTTGATGTTGCAGGAGATGGATAGAACCTGAAGTCCTGAGTGAAGTTTCACCAAAAATGAGACTCCGAATTCGAATGCAAATTATTTATACACTATTGTAATGTGTACAGCTGTCTTGATGTCTATATTCCTTGAATTGTATTCGTCGATAAAGCGCAGATTTTTAAATGTGTATATTTATTAGCTATATAACTACAATCCTCAACGACACATTCAGTATATCCGTTCCCCATTTTTTGTTGTTGTTATTGTCTATCTATATCAGTCATTCCGTTACATATGCATTGTTGTCATATACCATCAATCAAAATTTCTTAGCACATGCACAATGTTTCACTCTATTCCAAATCCTTTATGTACGTGTATATACATATTATGTACGAATATATTAGATATAATTGAGACACTATACAAAATAATACTGGTCTAATTGTGGTAATTGTGAACTGAATTATTGTACAATGCTTATATGAATTTTTTTTTAATTATATATAGGAAATTTAGTAAAAAAAGATTTAGTCGGGAAGATCTACTATGATAGGTAAGGATGAGACTAGAGAGGAATAATTTGACATATGCGTCATCACTAATATTGGTTTAAAGAATATATGTAGGTTTCTCGAAACTATATCTGCTACTTCAGCAAAACTGTATAAAAGTAATTTAAGAAAATTTTTTGTGGCAACATATGATTTTATTACGGTTCATTTTTTATAAGTCCCGGTTTGGATTCCCCATTACCAAATTTAATATCGGCAAGTCGGTAGACATGTGGGTAGTTGGATCCTAATTTCCTGGGCATATGTAAGGTATCATGGCTTCAATTCGTCCTCAATATGAATTGAGCTTAGCTGTGCTATAATCATTTGTGTTACTCTTGGATATTGGCCTTCTTCTATTGCTATGGATGGGGAATGATCTTCGAGTATAGAATTCATACTTTATTGTTCTACTGTCTGGCCGACTGCATATATATCAATGCTGTTCAAATCTATCTTGTAGGCCTTCTTATCTAGAATATATTGACATATTTCTCCCTAGATCAAAAATCTATATATCCTGACGTATTTGGGTCAATAATGCTTTGCTAGCGGTGTATCCGAAATGCCGATGGACGTTTTTGATCTCCGTCACCTTATGAAGGTGGTCATTTGGCTTAATGAAAATACACGCTTTTGCAATTCTCAAGACAGCTGTTTGAAAGGTCTGAATGTTATTCAACTGCCATTTTGCCAGCTTACTGGCTTGCAAAGTCGAATTAAAATTATATCGATGGGAACTTAGGTGGGCTATATAATTAGTAGAGTGTATTTTAATATTCTTCGTGTGGAAGTCAACGGAATTCTGACAAAAAATATGGGGATTTCTCCGGGGTTTGTTTCTATTCCGGCTCGGACCAAATGTGGTAAGAAGATACCTTTCGGGATATAATACCAGATGCTGTCGGTATCGTTGGTCTCTTTTTTGAGAAAATTTTGCATAAAAAGGCTGCATATAAATTGTTTCAAGCTCTTTTCCATAACTGGAAGTGTTTTGTCCTGCAACATTATTTATTATTCAAGTTTTATGCCGATATAATAAAAATTTAATTTTTGGTTTGAAGTCTTTTGCTAACTACATTGCCTCAATGCTATCCATTTAAAGGTTATATATGTACGTTCTAATTTAAGCATGTATACATTTTAAGGCCTTCCTTGTTTCTTAGACTTCTATAAAAAATCTATTTATGTTCAATTTTTGTCAGTTCACAATTACCTCAAAAAATTATCAAAAAGACCAGTATTGCATTTAATTTATTTTCAAAATTTCACCCTTTTGCCTCTGGTTGAACAATGAAAAAGTTTAATTGATAATTGTTTTGTCCTTTTTCAATTTATCAAAACCAAAAAAAAAAAAAAATATTTATTAAAAAACCAAACACTCTCTCACTAACCAAACCAAAATAACCGATATGTCATTACCGCAAAAAAAAAATATCAGATGCATTTACCGATTTGGATCCATTAGGTACTGGTCGCATACGACCATATGTTGATAAGAAATATTTTTTCCAAGAGCTTAAAAATCCACCAAAAAAAGTTTTGAAAGATCTCACAGCTAACTCTTCCGTAACATCGTCGTCCACTTCGCCATCTTCGCTGTTGACAGCCGTAACGTCCACGTCTACGTCGACAACAACAGCAGCGGTAGCACTCAATGCAGTAGCCTCAGTGGCAGTTCCAACAGCCGCAACAACTGCCAGTCTTCTAACATCATCATCTGCATGTCCAGCTACTTCATCTGCGACAGAACTTTATTCCTTGACTGATACTCAAATGAAATATAACCACAACAACAACACCAACAACGGCAATAACAATTTCTTATTGCAACAATCATCAACATCAGTTACAGTTAGCAATGAAATATTGAATCTGCAGGATTTCGATATGACTTCGCGACACACTCAACCACATTCTTCAATGATACTAACGTCTTCTAACATTAACTCTTTACTAACAACAGCCGCATCAGCGTCAGCAACATCGGCCACAACATTGGCATCTGCCTCCTCAATAACAGCCGCCACATCCCTCATGTCCTCAGGTACATGCTATGCTAATGCTAATGCTCCAGTTACTGTTGTCAATAGTTATGCTTCACTAACCACGACCACGTCCTCGTCCACCACCAGCACCAACAGCAAACTGAGCACTACTGCTACCGTAAATCTGTTGTCCATAAATAATCTGTCTGTAACTAATCGTAGTAATAACACTGCTTTAATCTGCACTTGCCCCACAACAATAATAACAAATAGCTTTACTACTAACCACTTAACTAACCGAACGGACCGCCAACCGGTCGGCCCTACTAATCCTAATTTCCTAAACGAGTCGACAGCTGCCATTGGCAGCGGCAGTAGTGGCAGTCGCAATACCGCTATGGTGACTAGTGGCGGCGGCGGCAACAGCGCCAAAGGCGTTGACCACTTAGCCATGTCAACGTCTTTGAAGTTGCAGCCTAGTGGAGCTACTAAGTCGTCAACAACAACAACAGCTTCAACTTCTTACGGCTCCTCGGCCCATCATCATAAGTCACAAACTAATAATTTACGTTTTTCTCGGTATCATCCTCCTCCCAATTTAGAACCCATTGCAGCTGTAGCAGCGTCAACGTCGACTGGAGCTGCCACATCGGCAGATTATGTTATGCTGCCACGCGACACCGATCCCTTTTCACCAACACGCAAGAAAAGTGATCCTTTCGAAGAGGTGGGTGACATTTTCTCTAAATTGGAGCCCTTTGAATTTGAATTTGGCGGCGCTGGCGGAGGTGAACGTGAAGAAGACAAAGCCAAAAGAAATGCCCTTAATTCGGCATCGCCTTCCAGGGATGGCGACATGCAGGGTTCTCATGATCTTTTGTCTGGTCACCTGCAAGTCAGCTTGCCTCCAGAGAGCAGTGGTGTTGGCGGCGGTGAAGCCGCACAAACTCAAAGCACGGTACGTTCGCGACCTGTGCCATCGTCGTCGATGATGGGTTCATCAATGCCACCTTTGGCCGGTTCTGTTCCTGGTTCCATGTTGAAGCAACAAACAGTTGATGTCATCTCAAGTATTTCCAATAAGAAGATGCCCCATTTATTTGGCCAATCATCGCGTTTCCCCAAAAGAGACTCCAATTCTATAAACATGCGACGCCTGCAAGAATCGGATTCTTTGAGTGAAACTGAAATGGCACCAGAGCCACCGCCACGACCCGATTCGGCCCCATACTCAGAGCCACCACCCTTACCGCCCAAGAAACAATTCAATGATATAATAATTCGGCCAAGAGCTGGGGCGTCTGCAGCTATGGGTGCCACTTCCAGCCGGTACGAAAGTGTCACTTCAGCCTTAAAATCTCGTACTTCTCCAGTGAGCGGAGCTGTGGATGTGCCACCGATACCATTGCCTTCGCGTCGGGTTGGGCGTACTGATGGTTCCTATCCCGGCCCGGGACGACCCAGAAAGCCTGGTCACACAGAAGATGATTATTTGGCGCCATTGCCGTCGACATCATCATCCTCATACAGTACTGCTGGCATTTCAAATAACCCAGATGTGCCACCATTGTTGCCTCCACCTACACAAATTTCGTCCAGATCCAGAACTCATCGGCAGCAGTCCTTCAATCAGCCCAGTTCGCGACAATCGCACGATATCTATGAGAATAAACAGGAGATTTTGCAGCAGCAGTTGCAGCAGCAACAACAGCAATCGAAGAATGCAGCCGAGCCAGCCTTGGTGCCCGATATTACTCTCAGCCAACTATTGACCCTGGGCATTGATGAACTCTCGGCTAAATTGAATGTGCCCACAAGTAAACTGTCCACCATGACTCTGGTGGAACTGACATCCTATTTGGCAGAGTTCCTGGAACAATCCAAACCGGAGCCAATGCCAGAAGTTCAAGAAAATCAGAGTATATTCAAAGTGAACTTCGATCAGGAGGGCACATTCGTGGCCAAGTTCGATGACACCTTCGGTGAGGATTTCCAAAATCCCTCAACTGCTGTTAGCTCAACATCGTTTCAGGCAAACTTCGCCCAATTCGATAAAGTTAATGTTGAACCGCCTGTTGGTAGCACGACACAGTCAGGTTCTGGCGTGCCGCCTGCAGATCGATATGCCGTCTTCCGTGAAATAATCGATCAGGAGCTCCAACAAAAACAAGAAGAGGCAGATCTGATTGGTGATATTGTGGAGAATACAGACATTCCCGTACATGAAGATCAAGAACCGCAATTTGAGTCGAATTTCTCGCTAACCACTACAGATTTGGATATGCCCACTGGATCTCAGGATCTTTTGAGTGGTGATATGCCAGAGGTGACAGCATCCGCTCAACAGGCAGCGAAGATTGATACAAAAATTTCAGAAGTTCTGGCCCAAGCTACCGACCGATATGCAGCTTTGAGAGATTTAATACTGGTGGAAAATCTCTTCGACAATTCCCAACCTCAGGCACCATCGACACAAGCACCAAGCCTTTCCTTAGAAACGGCTTCGGACACAGGACGTTCCGACTCCAAGTCGCCATTCCAAGGCTTCTCTGGATTTAATGATGATGAGGAAGATCAGGATCTGAAGCAACTAATGGACCAAAGCGTCAATTTGGATCCAACAACTCAACAACAAAGATTGGGTTTGGTAGACAGCCGTGGCTTCCTCGTTGAACCCTCATCCTCGGCCCTAACTGTGGACGATGAAGAAGACGAGGAGGAAGACGGCCGTGCCACCAAAGACGATAAAGATGACCAGGGTGGTGTAAGCAGTGCCGATAGCAATGAAAAGGAAGTCGATAAAGATAACCTGCCCATTGCCAACTACGAACAATTGGCCAGTTCAAATCAGCAACTCGAACAGATCGAAGAGAAACCTGAAAAGTTCGAAGATACTCCGAAAATAAGTATAACCCAGAGTCTAACCACCACCACCACAGAGAACAATTTCCTGTCAACGGGCAGTGTTGTTTCATCTTCGGCTATGTCCGGTTCAAAGGATGATTTGGAAATTGATGATCTGATGCAAAGAGCAATTTCCAATCTCTCTCTAGATTCGCGGGAACGTAATTCTCCGGCTGTGTGTAGTAATCTTTTGCAGGCCCAACAACAGCAACAATTTGCAAATAATGGCAGTACAATAAGAAATGAATCTTCACCCATACCTATTGGACAAACCAGTCAGTCCAAATCACCCATGAGTAATAAGTCACCTCAACAACTATCCCCCCTGACGAAGCCAATGAATGTGCTGTCGCAAATTATTGATGTTGCTACCAAACAAATAGAAAGCGAAGCGGCGATGTCCTCAAAGGCATCCAACGAGTCCTGGGCCACTTTCGATACACCACAACATCAGCCGACAGCAGCGCCATCTTCAGACAAACGGGCCAGACCCTCCGCCAAGGCACTCTCAAAATCTAATAATTTTCTCAATCTACCACCACCACCTGGATCCACATCGAATTGTTCACAAAACGACAGTGCCCTTGAGTCTCCATGCTCCTCAGATCCTCGAGATGATGGTTGGCATAAACACTCAATGGGTGGCAGCAGCCTTTCATTGGGTCATCACTCGAACGTTGGCGGAAGTAGTACCGGCCAAAGACGCTTTCACAAAAAAGAACGCCAGAACACCTCGTCATCGTCCCGAGATCTTAGTTGGGATGAAGATCAAGGCGGTGTTGGTGGTATGATGGGTAGTGGTGGCCATATAATGGATGGCTATGCTCAGGGTAAACGTATGGCTGGACAGGCTGGACATGGTAATCTAACGGCAGAACGTCTTGGCTACTATAGGCGGCATGCGAGACGTATGAATTCCTGCGATGAGGATTATGAGTAAGTTTTGGGGAAATTGGTTAATAACTTTACGTTGGAGACTTCAATCAATATTTTTATTTACAGTTATGAACAAGAGTTTTCAGCCAACAGCCGTGGCCGGGATCCTTGTAAAAATAAACGGAATATATCAAGAAGTAGAGATAATTTCGATATGGGTAAGAAAGGTTATAGATTCATCTAAGTTTTGCAGAGAAGAATAATTATTTTATTTTAGATTCTCCTGGATGGTATCATCATCATGCCGGCGCCCCAAGTCATGCACCCCATCACACTTGGTCTTCCCAAGACATTGAACAAGTTAGAGGTCGTTCATTTGATCGTTCAGCTTACGAACGAACCACATATGGGCCACCAATTTACGATAAGCGCGGTGTGGGCCCTCCACTTTCCTCCACATCCAGTTATGATCGAAGATCTGGGGGAGTAAGTGGTGGAACAGGGATTGGATACGACAAACGTAGCAATAAATATTACCGCGGTGATCCTAATTCACGAAACCCGAATCCCGAACGCATTTATAGTCTGGACGATTTTGATGAGATGTTAGCTGCCACTGGAAAAATACCTCCGCATCTGGCCGCCATGTATGAGGAAATGAAGGCCGGCTTCTGTTCGCCACAAATGATGGTGGGTGGCCATCGACAACGTAGTTCAGACTATATGTACGAACGTGATCGTAAGTCATTTGATCGTGAAAGTCTGGAATCGTATGATGGCTCCAATGCGCCACAGCGACGTCGTCGTCGTAGTTATGACAGTGGTGGTATGCCATCTGACCCATACGGCAGCTGTGATAGTCGTGATGATTATCATCGAGAACGTCACTATATGACAGCCGAAAAGAGTCGTTCTCTAAGAAAATCGCTAAAGTCTCTGCGGGTATCGGGTGATATCGACTATGAACAGGATTCGGAGAAAGAATATCATTATCGGGATCAGAGAGCACGTTGTGATACCAGAAGTCTACAAAGACCTAGTCAATTATCTACACAGGTTGGAGGTGCAATGCCAGGTGCAGCAGCAGTTGGTCCATTGGGATCACAATCGCGTATACGCAAAAGTAGTGGTTCCAGCCCATGGGATGGTGAAGGTAAGATTAGTTTAATTTGACCACAAATATTTTGGATGAAATTGCTAGTGGTTATTAATGAACCCAACAGAAAAGATTGGGACAATGAGACAAATTTTCATGTGAAGTCGATATTGCATTTTAGGAATAGTTGTATAACTAAATATAACTATATAACTAGTTGTATAACCGCTTCCTTCGGCTATCATCCCAATCATCCCATCCCACTATTTGCGCTAATTTTTTATTTCCCACAGAACCACCTATGCCAGGACAAAAAGTTACTGCATCGTCATGGAAACGTCCCTCCAGTGCCGCAGATTCTGAAAGACGCTTGGCCGAAAGCCGGAGATCAGCCGTTAAGGGACAGACCCCTTCAGGTTCTGAAGACGATAAAGATCGAAGGTAAGAACATTCTTTTCATTATATAGTAAATTTAACAACTGAAAATGAACTAATTTTTTCTAGATATCGAAAGAAACGTGGATCACGTGCCAAAGATATGGCAACAATGCCCGGCGGCCGATATCGTGATGGACCCCCAATGCGTTCTAGTAATTACGATTACATTGGCGATCTAGATGATGATGCCGAGGATTATGTTGACGAAGAAGAAGAGGAGGAGGAAGAAGATCGTGCCATTGGCGATGATGACATTTCACCTGCAGATGAAGATAAATTTGCTCGCCTCGAAATGAGACGACACGAAATGCATAATCGAATGATGGACGCCCATGTACGTAGACGCAAAGATCTACCTCCGTCGGCAACACAAATGTCGTCCATGGCATATCGTAAAAATGCCCCCGGACCATATGTCCATAGGAAACCACTACCTCCAACAGATGCTAAGCATAGTCATCCCCAGGATTATGGTTACGACGATGACGGCGAGTATGAACAGACACCAACTCCACGATCAAATACTAGCAGCGCCTTGCCAACAGCCACCCCGAATACATCAACTAAATTTAGTTTTGATGTTGGCTTTGAGTCTGATTTTAATCAAACTTCACCGCCACCTGCTCCTGCGGGTACCGCATCCAGTTGCAACTCCACGCCAGCGGCAAATGTCAGTGCTGCCAATACACCAGCCTCGAAATCATCATTCCGTTTTTCCAATGATTTCTCTGCTGGCCTAGAACGGGAAAAACATTATCAACAGCATTCGGCAGCAGCGGGTAGCCTACAGCAATATGATTTGGAGAATCGTGGTATCTCACCACAAGCGACCACCGCCCCCTCCACAACACAGGCGAGTACCCCAAAACTACGTTTCGATGATAATGTCAAAGTATCACAATTCGATGATGCCTTCGAAGATGACTTTTCCAAGACCAGTTTTGATGCCTTTGAAGCTGATGATCAGTGGCAGGAATCCTTGACACGATCGGCAAAGCAACAAATACGCAATAATAAGTTACAACAACGTCAACAAGATCTAATTAAGAAATCAGAATCTATAAATATATTCGCCAAGAAAGTTGAGGATCCCTTTGAAGATGATGATTTTTTTAATAGTCCTCCAATACAGGTAACTGCCGGTGCCGGTAATGAGGATAAACCGGACAAGCTAAAGGGAAATGGCAATGGTTTTGCAGCTGGAGCACAACCCACTAACTGGGATGATAACAATACAAATTTTGCCAAATTTGATGAAAATATGTGATTTGGTGAACGCTACGACAATACCACCACCTATGGCAATTCGTCCTTGTCGTCTTATCCACAATACAGCAATAATTATGTTAATAATCACAACGATGAGGTAGCTGGTGTTGATATTGATGATGACGACAATGATGAGGACGACGACGACGAAGATGATGATGGCGGTGGCCATTATGCTGAAATAGATGTGGTCACATCCAACGACTATTACTACATTACAAATCTCAAACAATATTATGACGAACAGCAAACATTAAAGGACCCCTACAAGTTGCCCCAACAATACAATACCAATAATTATAAAAAACATACCCAGCATCAACATCGGCGTTCATGTGATTCTTCTTCTTCATCGTCATGGTCGAACTATACATACAATCATAATAAATATCAATCGAATCGAGGTTCAACATCAACGTCTGTGTTCACCCAGTGCCATACAACACAAACAAAACCCGTGGATAGGGTCCGTTATTGTGCGCAGCAGAAATCACAGCATTACAATGGTATTGAAGACAAAGGTGATGATGCAGATGGAGATGCTCGTGTGCCAGGTATAACAAATACAAATAGTATTCTACGCAATACTCAAAAACGATGTCGTCGTAAATTATTTGCATTCAATTTTATGTTAAAGAATTTAATAACATATCGTTTTAAATATGATATTCTATAGATGGGGGATGGATAGATGAGGTGAATTCAGTATTGTTCGGTGCATTTATATTTTAAACAGAATTGAACTAAAATTTTAATCATATTTAAAATTATTGGTGTGAATGGCAATGCGTTAATGCAGCGAGCATTCTTGTCAAAAAAGTTATTCAACAGCAACAACAATTCAAAATACATTCTCCTTTTTTGAACTGTTCATATGCAATATACTAATTGTGTATGGTTGAGGTCAATCATATCGTATATCCATGTTTAAAAGAGTCGATACTAAATTCAGTAAATTAAATAAATTCCAACGAATGATCTCACTTTGTTTCGGACAGATAAAATGTAAGTTTCTTGCAGGTGGAAATCTAAATATGCAATCTGAAGACTTTTCAGTTGATAGTAGCTGGTCGTAAACGACTTTAAAAAAAAATAATCGAACGGCGAAGGAATCTTGTGGAAAATATTGAAAGAAATGAAATAGAATCAATTGGAAAAATCACAATCCCCTAACATGACGCTAGAAGAATCTGTGATCCATCCGCGGTTTTATTTTATTGTCAAACGCGACAGGTTCTATTCATATATAACTGTCCAGATTTGACAAATTGAACATAGATTCAAGGTACAGGCATAGATTGAACTAAAATTATACCGTTACAGAATTTTTACTGTTTTTGGGAAAATGTCACAATCTGTCGGTAAATGTCCATGAGCTTTTCGATGCTTAAAAATGATTCAGCATGGGATATAAGCAAGGATAAAGAGTACATTCTGCTATTTATCTGACTTGACAAACTGTTGTTGTTTTTTTTTTTTTAATTAAAGAGAAATCCCTTTGCGACTGAGGGCATGATTGCCGATCACTGGAACATCAAATTCCAACACAATTAGAAAGAGGATTATTGATTCACTCGTAAATGAGCTAAATCCCAGAACTAGGAAAATAATTTTTTGGAAAATCACCCATTTTCTGGAAATGAGGAAGATCTCGACCGATTATATTTATCCTATTTCATATGACAGCTTTGTAGGTCCAGAATAACATATGAAATTTTTGAAACGATTGCTTTAATAGGTTTTAAGTTATCGTGCGCGCGAATCGTAAGTGTTTTGAAACGCTCTCGCTTTCACCTGCTGCTTACCCAATAAATCGCTTATATCTTCAAGAGATTTAGAAATTTTCACTTGAAATTTTAAGGAGACATTCTTGAAAAACTTCAAATCCTGCGCATTCCGAAGTTTCGCTTATCATTTGTGGTAGATGAGATTGCTCTTGTGTCGGTCAATTCAAATATTCGTTTGTTTTACGATTTCGTAATATACAATTACGATCATGAAATAGCAAGGACTTCGCAACAAGCCTGAAAACTGGTTGATACCTAAATGCTTTAGATATCTACTGGATCTACAAGTATCTTGTAGATCTTGTAGAAATTTAATGTGTTGAGTTTGTAAAGATGAGGTCTTTTATATTAAGTTCTGGAACATTGGTGTGGCAATTATAGGGGAGTAGAGTAGTGCGCTAGACAGACGCCCTGTCATCAATCCGCGTACAGTAGATATTTATAATAGATATCTTGGACTTAGTTAAAAAACTACTCTGGTGTGCCAAGATAGCTTATGCTTCTCTTTTGCGATAAGTGGGATCTATATTTACCCTGTATTCAGAACTGCTCGGCAGGCTTTATGATCCTAAAGGTACTCTTTTATATCATTGGGCCTCTGATGGGTGTCATGATGATGATGTGAAGGAAGGGCCTTCCTCTCCTAAAGTAGATTATCCACAGATGACATATGGATGCAATATGCGGCGTTGTGACAACTTCAAATATTTTTACATTGTATAGCATTAGTATTGGAGGATTCCACACATACCGATCAACTTCTCTATAGATGGAACCTTATTCCTATTTTATATGTTCAGATATTCAGTGTTTTTCTTCGCTGTATGCTTTCTGGTGATTTTTTAGCTGCGGCAATCCTTGAAAAATTATTTGGGCGATGCGTCGGATGTCATTCAACTCTGGTTGGCATAAGAACTAAACATGTCAAATTATAGCCAATTTGATTCTAAATTTTATTATCAAAAAATTTAAAATACATAATATCGGACCGGACATTTTTATCCAATATTTGGACTTGATTTCACCCTCTTTTCCTGATGGAAGTTTTTTCTTTTAAAAAACCTGAAATATCACATTAAATATATTTCGAATAGGCAACACCAGATCGGGTATATACTTGGTAGGGGTCGACAATTAATATGAAACGAACAAAACTAACGACAATTTCGTAGGTAACACAATATGAATCTCAAAAATATATTTCTAATTCAATAACAATAGAAGAGGAAGCGTACATGTATATATGTTTAACGTAAGCATCTTACTATAAAAGATAAAAATGTAAATATTCCACATATTATTAAGGACTATGGGAAAAATCCAACAATAGAAAGAATGAAGGGACAACTAGAAGAGAATTGAAAAAGAGGCGATATTTATTAATTATACTATTACGATTATTGTATATTTGAAAACAAAATATTAATAAAAAATTAAGAATACTAAAATTATGTTGCGTTACACACAATGTTCTACACTAAATTTAGTTATATTTCTTCTACTCTTGCCGATTTCCTAAAAATTAAATTAAAAACAATTTGAAAAAATTTATTCTAAGCAAAAATCTATCCTAAAATAGACACACAAAAAATATAACTATAGAAAAAAATATTTAGAAACACGCATACAACACACCAAAATTTCTGTATTCTGTCCGTTTCAAGGTTTTCTTAATTATAGTTCTAGAATTAAATTATTTATACAAAAAAAATTAATCATTATTTTACAAACAAAGAAAAATCCCTAGACCACAATCGAAGATACTCAATGATGATACTAACTATTTATAACTAAACCAAAATATTTGAAAAAAATACAAAAAAGACACACACATACAAAAATAAACAAAAAATTGCAAATAAAAAATTACTAATAAAATTTTCATAAACAATTTAATAACAAAAGCATTTAGCAGCAAATGATGAGTGCATGTGTTTAAGCAACAATTATTAAATTCTGAATATGATTGAAAATAATTATATGTCAATAAATAGTGTTGTTTAGTCCTTACATCAGACGTGTAATAGTAACCCCCCTCCCTAATAGTAAACAATAATTAAATAATTTATTAAAATGAGATGAAAGTACAGATCAATAGCAACAACAACAATAATATTAGAATTGATGAATTGAACAAAGCGATAGAAAGAAACCAACCTATATGAACAATACAAATGCAAAAGTAACAAAGGAAAACAGCCATTTAAAAACAATATATTAATTAAATTTATTATTATTAATAACTATAAAAAAAAAAACAAATAATAATTACCTTGATATTATATACACAAGAGACGATACATAATAGTTAATACATATGTAATACATTAATTTAATTTTGTTTTATTTGTCGATTGAATAATTCAAAAATAAAAATTAAATGTAAACCAAAAATAAAATAATTGTTGGGGTAGTTGATTTTTTATTTACATTAGTTAAATAGTTCATTCAATAGTTTCAATATCTGCAATGCCTAATTGAAATTTAGGACCCAATTGCTCATTTTATAACATATTTTTATCTGATGCTTCGATTACGGTGGTCCATTGCATAAATATACAGATCGGAGTCAATATCCACCTCAATGGTAGGATATGCTTACCACTTTTATTTGGGTGTTTCATCTCCGTCACGATTGATGCTCTCTACTACCATGGCAGAAAGGTCCGATTGTTTCAATTAAATTGAGAATACGGGTAATATGTCTCTCGAGGCACCCCAGGTGTAAAGTCGGTACATGAACTGCACACGAATTTCAAAAATAAAACGCCACTATTACTTTGTATAATTTGCATCTACTTTTTTTTGTTTATTAATATATTTCTACATTGTTTATAAAATAGTAAAAGCAAAGCAGTTGTTTTTGTTTTGTAAATAATTTCTAATACCAAGCCATGGAAAGTAATATTTCTATACAATGCTATAGATTGGGGCTTTTGTATAATAAATATATATATATTTGATTGATTATTTTAGTCATTATAATTTGAAGCTATTAAAATTCTTTCGTTATTGTCATCGTTTACTATGAAGCGTTTTGTTGTTTGTTTCTATTTATTTGTTAAATTCAAATGAATTAAATGATTTTTGTTGTTGTTATTAAAATGTTTAAGTACATTCGTTTATATATATATTTCACTCGTTTGTTTACTCTTGTTCTAAATGTGTTAAAGAAAATATGTTTTCATTTTTGCCTAAGGAAACCGGCTAAGTGATGTTGCGTATGTAAGTGTTTTTAGACTGTTTTTTTATTCTTTAATATGGAAGACCCGTTGATGGATTTAGAAGACTGTCGGTTTTCGTTAGACGTTGTGGTCCCAAACCCACTTTAGTGTGAATAATATATTTCAGAAGATTTCGTTCATTTGTCGGTAATGTAAAATTACCATTAAGTATGGGATCTGCTGCTGGGGGTGTCTGTGATGGACTGGCGCTTTCATCAATTGGTATTCCCTTGATATATTCCACACTGCTGCCAGCATCGTTAGGGAATGATGTTTGTATGGCTTGTAAAAGTGATGGAACATGCTCTCGGAGCACATATAAACAGGCATTTGGTCCCGCATCAAAGGTGTAGGCAACTCGCGTTTGACCCACAGCGGCATTGTAGGCATGCACAAACGTTGCAATCGCGTGTGATACATCATTCATGTATACACACGGCGGATATGTATCCAGGGCAATGGCATGAAATTGATTCGAATCTTGCATGGTTATTTTGGCAAATGTTTCGAAATCTCGTTGTTTGATCGCCTCTGTTATGGCTTCAATACGCTGGGGAACACATTGTTTTGCACGATATTTTATTAGATCAGATGTTTCAACAGCCAGCTTCATACCCTTCGTCGAGCTGGTCTTTTTTCGACTGTCATTGACGACAAGTATCAAAACATGCATATTTGGCCAGTGGGCTGATGTTACAACGGGTAGGGCTATTGAATCGGAACCATCTGATGCTTCACCTTTATGCCAACGTACAAAACCACCATGCAGACTACGACATGCTGAACCGCTACCCTGTCGTGCAATAGCTGTTAGTTCTTCATCCTGTATACCGTATAATGTGGCCAGGGTGTAAACAAGGCAGGCATAACCGGCAGCACTAGAAGCTAAACCAGCAGCTGTGGGGAAATTATTACGCGAAACAATATGTAATTTCCATTCCAGTGGAAATTTGAGGGATTCTCCTTTGGCCAGTGCCAAACGTTGTACTGAAAGAAAAGGGGAACATTTAATGATTATAGTCGATGAGTTTTTAAATGTTTTTAATCGGGTTTTATAGACAATAGCTAATAATTATCCAATTCTGAGATTATATGTTATAGCGTTAGTTTGAAGCTATCGCCCTCTCCAAATTATGTAATTAAATTGTACTCCGTTATTTATGTAAATTAAATTGTACTCCGTTCAGAAAAATTTTTAAAATAAATAATGACAGGTAGCCCTTTTAATACTGATTACCGCGACATTTATTTTTGGGAGATCCATTCTTCTTTACATATAGGGCTACATTGTGGGACATTTTCTAGAAGAAGTGGAACGCCTTCGGATATAAGATTGGTATATTAATAGTATTAAAATTTTGTTTAGCATTAGCACTAGACAGATCATTCAAATTCGACCCCAAATTATTCCAAAGACACCTAGGGTATAAAACTAGCAAGTGAAAAAAGCGTTAAGTTCGTTAAGTTGGGGCGAACTCCACAAAGGTATACTGACAGATACTTGCAATGAAAATATAGGGAACATACCAAAAAGTGGACCTATACCGATAATTTGACAAACCGATTTATGTAATCCATTATGCACACTAAATATAAATTTCAGCAATTTTTAATGGAGATTTTTCTGAAAATCTGAAAACCCCCAAAACGACAGGTTAGTGTTTCTTATAACGATATCTTTAGAATGTGGAATGATTACAACAGATGGCTAAATTGTCTTAGAATTCCACACTTTGTAGGGTAAAAACTGACTATTTCGAGTAACGACTACCCATACTATGGCAGAATACACCTGTATGGGGACAACCTTTACACACGGAACAAAGCAGATAACTAATTATATATAAAAAGGGTGTGAATATTAAAAATTTTTATATGGAGATTCGGTTGAAAAACGCGCTCAAGAACCTAAAAATATCTAAAATTGGGGATACCCTTATATGGGGAATACCAGAAAAAATGGACCTATATTTATAATTTTTAGTGGAGATATTTGCTACACAATAAGAACTCAAAGTACTAAATTACAGCCAATTCGATCGAAAAATGCGATCAAAACCACCAAAATACTGAAAATTGGGGAGTAGCGTTATATGGGGGGTACCAGAAAAGTGGACCGATATTTATAATTTTTAGTGGAGATATTTGGTACCCAATAATAACCCAATGTACTAAATTTCAGCGAATTCAGCTAGAAAACGCGACCAAGAATCCAAAAATACCGAAAATTGGGGGTACACTTATAAGGGGGCTATATGAACCTATATTTACAATTTTTAGTGGGGAGATTTGCTAAACAATATGAACTCAATGTACTAAATAACAGCCAACTCGGTTGAAAAACGCGATAAAAAACCACCAAAATACCGAAAATTGGAGGTAAACTTATATGGTGGCTATTTGAATAAATCGACCTATATTTATAATTTTTAGTGGGGAGATTTTTCAAAGTACCATATTTTCGGTAGAAAAGCGCGCTCAAAATACCGAAAATTGGGGGGTAACCTTATATGAGAAACAAAATATGCAAAACTTTGGAGATCTATCTCTATTCGTTTAGACGCTAGAGTGATTACAAAAGACGGACATGCTTAGGTCGTCATAGAATTTTACGCTGATCAATTATTTCGATGCGTTACAAACGGAAAAAACTAATATACCCTCCATACTATGGTGGAGGGTATAAAAACAGGGGGTTATTTCGGAACCTTGGAGTCCCTTGACTTCCCAAAAAGTTTGTGGTTTTCATTGGATTATAAAGAACTATTCAACATATAATTTCCAAACATTTTGAATGTCCATTACACCGAATCTGCCTTAAAAACGTACTTCGACGAGTATTTCATAAACATGTTTAATTATCCCCAACTAAATTTTAGTCTGATCTCTAACGATTTAATTTGAATTTATCCCCGCACAACTGCAAACATATGTTCCTTTGATGTTCTCTGTTTTTGTTTTCGAATTATCATTCACATCTGAATACTCACAAGCCTTTAAGCATCTCATTGCACGGGGATTATCTTCAAAGGGTACTTCTTCGCCATTGAGCCACATTCGATGTTCCTTATAGGTTGAACACGCTGATGCCGTTGTCTTTGCACACATCTACAAAACCAGAGATATTAAAATGAAATCGTTTGTTAAGAAGCATTTGTATGGAAATTTGAAATGCATGTCAAAGGTTGTTGAGATGAATGGGGGCCTGTTGTTGTTGGTGTTGTGGCCAACAATTTAACAACCACATAATAAATAAAAACAATACCAAAGTGCATCAAAGGTGTGTATCTACAACACTCCGATTTACATATCTACATGCATAAGTATGTCATTTGGAAGTACCACTTACCTCATCCGTGCTTAAAGTCATACTCAACGAGTCGTTAATGGGCAATATCAGCTCTTCATCTCGTTTGCCCCCTTTTCCAGAAAATGCGACAAGATAATAACATAGAAATAAAAGCAATTTAATTAATTAAAATCAATTAATATTGAAAATAATTACAAATATGTGTTGCCTAGGGAAAGTGAAATCCAATTATTTACTAACAATTCCATGGCCTGGTGGACCCCACCACTTACAATATTTTATTAAAGCTATATTGACTGGTGCTATGCACGTCTCTATGAACATTTTCCTTTTGTCCAGTGCTGGTCTAAATGATTGTTGGAAAAATATTAAGAAATTGTCAATAAATCGACAATAATTGGTCCAGACAGGAAACACAACCTTACGGTAAGAAATTGTCTAATAAACTGAAAACAAACTTTCACTTTTCAGCTAGGGATATGTAAATCGACTTTCGACTAATCGATTAATCGACTTTTTGTATTGAACTAGAGCTGGCAAACTATCGATAGTCGCATCATCGATATTTTCGATAGTTTGTTGGAAAACTATCGATAGTATCGAATAATGTGGGAATGCCAATATTAATTTTTCAATAATGCGCGCAACTTTTTTTCATTGTTCTATGTTATTATAATTATTTTTGTATTATGGTTTTTGTTAAACTTTTGCGATTTTTATTAAAAATAAAAATAACTACTAACAAAACTCATCACAAATGTAATAACCATTCAAGTCAATATCAATAAACAACACCGATATGTACTTACATGTATTTTTAATAACGGACTCAATTATATTAAATGATCTAATGATTAATATTCTTTTATTAAGAAACGCTTAAGCAAAACAAATTGACATAAAAACAAAAAATATTTGGAATTCATTAGTACAGTTATTATTAAAATATGTACATATAGTAAATATTAATTATAAACTATATTTATAGTCAAAAATAACAGACAATAACGCTTAAACAAAACAACAACATAAAAACAAAAATATTTGGAATTCATTTTTATAAGGCACTTTGAGATCAACTTTTACAAAAAAATGTATTTGCATGTAGTAAAAATTAATTAAAAATTATATTTATATTAAAAATTAAAATAAAAACAGATAATAACGCTTCAACAAAACAACTAAACATAAAAACAAAAAATATTTGAAATTCATTATTACAGATACATTCAGATCTTATTTTATAAAAATATTTAATCAAATTAATTTAAATTTAAAATTATAATGAAAATTACCTTGAAAAAGGTATTATTTGTTTAAAAACCTTACTTCTTATAATTCTTTACTGACCCAACAATTTTTGTTAACAAAGAGCAGCATATCAACATTTTTTGGCTTTAAGCTCGATCTTCTTTCCGAAATTATGGCTCCGGTTTTGCTAAACATTCGCTCAGCCTCTGTCGAAGTTGCTGGTACGCATAAATAGCGTAAGGCACATGACTTTGTGAGTGACATTTGGCCAGAACAATTCTGAAAATAAACATAACACTTCGTAAATTTGTTAATAAATAGTTTTGTATTATATTATTTACCTTCCAGTACTGTAATGGATCTATTTCTAATGCTGCATTTTCATTTTCAAAATATTGCCTAAGAGAAATGATGGCGTCTACTTGATGTGATCTTACTTTAGAGGCAATTTTATTTCCTACGAATTTTAAAAGCGGTGGCTGCGAACTTTGATGAATATTTTTAGAACATGATGGTTCTAAATTATCTTGTTCCATGGTGTTGTTTTTGTTCATACCACTCAACACGTTTTGTAAAAATTGTGTTCCTCCATCTGCATTGCTTGGGAAAAGAAAACCTTCCTTCTTGAACCGAGGGTCTAATAATGTTCCGAGTCTTGTAACTGTACGCTCCTCGTAAGGAAATAGCCTTTTCTTTATTCTTTCAAGCAGAAATATACAAGCTTGATGGCCTTCTGAAGTTTTCATAGTACTTTTTAACTCATCAAGAGATTTAAAAAGACCACATGTTAGAGGAACTACTAGGGAAATAGTAACAGCTGCACTTGACGATGTTTGGACTGTAGCGGCATCAAATGGCATAAGCAATTGTTTAAGGTCCTGCAAAAATTCTATATCGTCTGCCGTTAAAGGTAGCGGTGCCTTTGGTGTCATTAGCAGTACATTTGAAATAGAATTATTTGTTAAAAGAATGCTCTCCACCATTCTGAGAGCACTGTTCCAGCGGGTCGGTACCTCCTGTTTTAGGCTGTGGGGCATATCTCTTCCTTGGTCCGCTTTAAACTTTTCGTAGGAAATTGTGCTGCTCTTAAAATAGCTCACAATTTTCTTACATTTCCCTAAAGTAGTTTTAACATAATCTTGCGCTAAGCAATCTTGCACCACAAGGTTAATAGTGTGTGCAAAGCATGGCAGATTTCGTTTTTGAAGCAATTCGCACGCTTTCAACATACTGCTAGCATTATCGCTGACAACTGCCACCACTTTCTCCATTAGACCCCACTCTTCTAACACGGCGCGCATAGATATTGATATATTTTCTGCGTTGTGATTAGTGGAACATAACATTTTTTTTGTAGACAAAACAGCTGTACGGAGAACAAAATCTTTTGTAACAAAGTGGCACGTTACGGTGAGGTAGCTTCATTTGCGCGCGATGTCCATAGGTCTGTTGTAATAGCGCAGTGTTGTAACCCGTTAAGAATAGTTTGCAACTTACTCTTTGTTTCGTTGTACATATTTATCATCAGAACGTTTTTTAGGGTGTTTCTTGAAGGCAAAACGTAGCGCGGATCTAAGCATCGGACAAAATCACGGAATCCTGTATCCTCTACTACACTGAATGGCTGTACATCAGTGGCGATCAAAATCATTAAAGCCTTATCAAGTTCTTTTTTACGTGCCGATTCAGTATCGTAGGTGACTGAATTGTTGAAAAAATTATCAATTGTTTTCGTTGGTTTCGGAAGCTGATTATAAGAAGGATGGCTACGTTTTAAATGATCCAACAGATTTGACGTGTTACCGCTAGTTTTGTATATTTTCCCACACAGCTGACACTTAGCATTTCTTTTATCTGTTGTTTTTTGAAAATATATTCTGAGAAACCGTGGCGTGCTCTTTTTGACTTATTAGTTTCCCCACCAATCGTGCAATTTTCACGTTCTTCTTCATTTTCATTACCAGTTTCTTCTATGGAAATGGAGGTAGAAATATCTGTAAACATTTTTAATCAACAATTGAACAAAATATAAATAAACACATTTTACTTACCGTTTGGTCTTTTCAGATATCTGTTCATTTTAAACAGTGTTCTGTTTTTTACATATATTTATGACAAATCAAAGTTGATAAATTAACGACGCGGTTTATATAGAAGATATCTAAGTCGTTTAATTAACAAAGTTGCGCCTCTAACTGAATAAATGCCGGAATCCGTTTTTTCAACGATAGTATCGCTATCGAAAAAAAACCATCGATAGTCTAGTGAAAACCAAACCATCGATACTATCGATATTACTATCGATAGTTTGCCACCTCTATATTGAACAGTTAAAAAGTCGAAATCGGCTTTTTATATTTGAGTAAATCGCAAAGTGGGCTTTACAACATTTGGTTTATTATAACAAAGCCAAAATTGCCTAAAAATTGCACATTCCACAACACAACAACATTTACATATATAAAAAATCAATTTTTTAGCCTTTGCATCAGTCTATATGAACGAAAATCCAATCTCATGAGAAACTCCAGATGAATTCTCAAAGGTGAATGACGCAAAATTGTGCCGGTTTTAGGAATTAAAGGACACACCAACCTAAATTCTGATTTGTCTTCATGATAGTTTATTTGAAATTTTTCTTCATGAGGATTTATTTGAATTTAAACCCACTGGGTTAACGAAATCCGATAAGATATAAACGTACGATTACTGTCGCCTACGTATGCCTAACAAATTCTACAAAGCTGCCTCTAATGAAATGACGCCGTTGAAAAGGGAAGAAGGGTTTACCAGATCGAAAAGTGAACATTACAAATAGGGGTTTAGAAGTCGATTTAGAATTATTAAGAAAATATAAAAAATTAACGGCAAATATATATTTCAAATATATTTATTAATCATACAAAACGTTTCGAAATAAAATTCACGATTGAAGATCTTTTTACAGACGATTGCTTTTACTTCACTGCCCGCTCGTTTCTTCTTAATGATTGTTATAACTTTTTCAATTCATTACACCCTACACAACTATGTTGTCAGGATTGCTTTTACTTCACTGCCCGCTCGTTTCTCCTTAATGATTGTTATAACTTTTTCAATTCATTATACCCTACACAACTATGTTGTCAGGGTATTATAGCTTTGTGCAGCCCCAAAAGTTTGTAACGCCTCGAAATATTGGTCATAGACGTACCTTTAAGTATACCGATCGTCATATCTCGACTATCTGAGTCGATCTAGACATGTGTGTCCGTCCGTCCGTCTGTCTATTATAATTTGTAAAAACGATACAGACCACAGTTATTCACGAAATTTTGCACGTAGGATGGGTTCAGGCCAATGAAGACCCCTATTGTTTTTGGTAAAGCTCGGTTAATATTTAGGGGATGAAATGGACCAAATACTTAATTTTTGTCGGTTTTTCTGGTCGCTCCAGAGCCCGCAATTATGGCCCGAACATTGCGAAATTTTACATGGAAAAGGGGATTGGGCCAAAGAATAAGCATGCTTCTTTTGATAAGGATCGGCCAATATTTAGCGGGTCAAATGGACCATTACTTTTGTGTGAAAAATTAAAAAAATGTGTTCTATAGCGTGTATATTTAATCCTAAAGGACATAGACCCGAGAAGTTGATAGTATATACAAGAGGAGTGGTTGACCTTTAAATTGATACCAATTACATTGTCGTATGTACTCGGATGTGGGCGTTACACATATATATTTATAGGTGCTTAGGTATTCAGATATTATTTACTAACACATTACCACACTAGATCGCTTTGAAATGTTCCATAAGGCTCCGCTTATGGTCAAGGATAACGCCTATAGTTTTCGGCGAAGATCAGATAATAATTTTTGAATGAAATTTACCGAAAACTTATTTTTTTGTGTTTTGTCGAGGCCACAATAATAAGCCGAAAGTCACAACACCACCCATGGTGAAGGGAATCTGGAGACGTATAGAATAGAGGAATACGGTGGGATTTTGTGTGTTTTACGGGTAGAATTGGCTTATATTTCAATAGAGTTTTTTTGGGTTTGTCTAAAATCGTCTGCCATTTATAATTCCATTCCATTTTTCTTGTCAAGATGTGACTGCCGAAGATTTGTCGTTTTGTGTCAAGTCAGATGGACATAATTTTGGGTAAGAATCGGTTGGATTATGGTTAGTGGCAATGAAGTCCACATACTCGTTTCCATACAAACCCATAGAAAGTGTACAGTGAAGGCCTCCCTATACATTTGGTACACCTCATCTTTTATTCTGTAAATAAATGAATTGGTATTTCTGGAGTTTTGAGATCCAATGGCCTGAAGGACTGATTTGCTGTCAGTGATGAGTACATATTTCCCAGGATCACAGGTTTTGATGAGCATTAAAGCTTCAACAATTGCATAAGCTTCTGCGGAGAAAATAGACTTATATAATTTTAATGTAAATAATATCAACTGATTTTAGGAAGTGTTCAGAATGTATAGTCTCAACCTTGGCACAATGAATAGGTAGTCCATTTAGAACAGCTGATGTCTTGATTAACTGTTAAAGTGCGTAATTTCTACTTGAATTTTTGAAATATTATAAGGATGGTCGATGAAAAAACAAATGCTTTTGTTTTCATACATCACCTTATCATTATTATTGCATCATGGTCTCAACCATGGCACAATGAATAGGTAGTCCATTTAGAGCAGCTGATGTCTTGATTAACTGTCAAAGTGCGTAATTTCTACTTGAATTCGATGAGAAATGCTGCCAACTTTTTGAAATATTATATGGAAAATTTTGACAGATGGTCGAGACAAAAACAGATGTTTTTGTTTTGATACATCACCTTATTACTGCATCATGGTCTCAACAGCAATTTTATCAGGTTTGTATCTGAGATATATTTATAAATACTGAAAATGTGCCATAATAAGAATACAGTAGATGGCACTAAGTGATTGAGAATATTTATAGTCTTTATATTTGCAAATGGGATCAATGTTTTTATATAGGGCACACATAACGGGACTGATTCCTTTTTATACCCTTCACCACACTGTGGTACAGGGTATTATGTCTTTGTGCATATGTTTGTAACAGGCAAAAATAATCGAGATAGACCCATGGTTCCTTTTGAGAATATGCATAGAATCACTTTTATGCATGTCCGTCTGTCCGTCCATGTAGTTTTGTTAACAAAGTACAGATCGCATTTATGATCCGATTTGGATGAAATTTGGCACAGGTCACTTAACTGGCCCAAGGACGAACCCTATTGAAATTGGAGAAAATCGGTCCACGTTTAGGCATAGCTCCCATATAAGGGTACCCCCAAATTTTCGGTATTTTGAGGTTCTTGAGCGAGTTTTTTAACTGAATTCGCTGAAATTTGGTACTTTGAGTTCTTATTGGGTAGCAAATCTCCCTACCAAAAATTATAAATAAAGGTCCATTTTTTCGGATAGCCCCCATATAAGGGTACACCCAATTTTCGGTATTTTCGGGTTCTTGGGCTCGTTTAATAACTGAATTCTCTGAAATTTTGTACATTGGGTTCTTCTGGGGTAGCAAATCTCCCTACCAAAAATTATAAATAAAGGTCAATTTTTTCGGATAGCCCCCATATAAGGGTACCCCCAATTTTCGGTATTTTGAGGTTCTTGAGCGCGTTTTTAAACTGAATTCGCTGAAATTTGGTACTTTGAGTTCTTATTGGGTAGCAAATCTCACTACCAAAAATTATAAATAAAGGTCAATTTTTTCGGATAGTCCCCCTATATGGGGACCACCCAATTTTCGGTATTTTCGGGTTCTTGGGCTCGTTTTATAACTGAATTTTCTGAAATTTTGTACATTGGGTTCTTATTGGGTAGCAAATCTCCCTACCAAAAATTATAAATAAAGCCTAATAGCCCCCATATAAGGGTACCCCTAATTTTGGGTCTTTTGAGGTTCTTGAGTGCGTTTTTAAACTGAATTCGCTGAAATTTGGTACTTTGAGTTCTTTAGCAAATCTCCCTACCAAAAATTGGGTTCATATTGGGTACCAAATTACTCGACTAACAATTATAAATATAGGTCCAGTTTTTCTGGTAGTCCCCATATAACGGTACCCCCAAATTTTTGGTATTTTGGGGGTTCTGATCGTATTTTTCGACCGAATTGAGTTCTTATTAGGTAGCACATCTCTCCACTATAAATTATAAATATTGGTCAATTTTTCTAGTAGCCCCTATATAAGGGTACCCCCCCTAATTTTTCGCTATTTTGAGGTTCTTGAACCAAATTCTATTTATAACCTTCACCACACTGTGGTACAAGGTGTTATGTCTTGTGCGTATGTTTGTAACAGGCAAAAGGAAACGAGATAGGCACATGGTTCCTTTTGAGAATAGGCATAGAATCACTTTTTCAGTCGATTTAAGCAC